ATAGGATCTGGAATGCTTCCCCGACTCCAGCTTTCCGTGTTCTTCCCACTCTGGTCTTCTCTCCGACTCTTGTTCCGACTCCGGCTCCGGCTCCAACTCCTGCCCCCGACACGTCCTCTGAGGGCTCCGTCCCACCCGCGCTGCTCCTAAGGGGCCCGCCAGCCGGCCGGCGGACACAGCGCGCCTCGCCTCGCTTCCTCGCCGAGGCCGTTTTGGCATTCTCGCCGAGGCCTCTTGGAGCATCTTGGGTGCCTCTGGGGGGTCTCTTGGGGAGGCCTCTTGGGCGCCTCTTGGGGCCATCTTGGGGCCATCTTGGGACCTCTTGGGGCCTCCTGGGCGCTTCTTGGGGCCATCTTGGAGGAGATCGATCAAACAAGAGGAGAGCATTAACTAGCGCCCCCCCCCCCTAGGAGGCCAAAATGGGGCCAAAACCTTGGTAAAACAAATGATTTTGGCTTCTTCGCCGAGGCCGTTTTGGCATTCTCGCCGAGGCCTCTTGGAGCATCTTGGGTGCCTCTGGGGGGTTCCTTGGGGCCTCGTGGGGGTTTCTTGGGGGCCTCCTGGGGGCCTCTTGGGGGCCTCTTGGGGCCATCTTGGGGCCATCTTGGGACCTCTTGGGGCCTCCTGGGCGCTTCTTGGGGCCATCTTGGAGGAAATCGATCAAACAAGAGGGGAGCATTAACTAGCGTCCCCCCCCCAGGAGGCCAAAACGGGGCCTAAACCCTAGTGAAACCGTGAAACCAATGATTTTGGCTTCCTCGCCGAGGCCGTTTTGGACGCCCTGACACCTCGCGGAACCCCCCGTCCAGGTCCAGGGGAGCGAGTAGGGGGAGGGGTACCCCCCCCCCCGAAGGGGAAGAAGGAGGGGTACGTTCTAAACCACCGACGCCCAGAGGGCTGGTGGGATTATGCCCCCGACTCGGTCCGGCCCCTGAACGCCAAAAAGACAGACAAGAGGTTGTTGGCTAGCGCATAGAGGATTCTCATCGAACCTGGGTCGGCCCCCGTGTTTCCGAGTCGCAGCGCGGCATCATATCAGGCCGCTCCACGTTGGCGAACATCGTAGACATCGACGGAGCGGCGGCCACCGCGGCGCTCGAGGGAGGACGCGGCCGCCGTGCTTTTCGACTTCGCCGCAGCCTTCCCATCCGTGGAGCACATCTTCTTGTGCAATATTTTCGCTGCATTGGGCTGGCCCTCGTGGCTTCCACGTTTGATCCGTGTGCTTTACTGGGCGAATCGGGGTTCGCTGGCGGCGCGCGGCTTGCGGTGCGGCGGCTTCGAACTCACGCGTGGTGTCCGGCAGGGGTGCCCGTTACCTCCACTGTTGTTCGCCGTCGCCTCGGACCTTTCGTTGCACCGGCTCCGCCAGGGTTTTCCCAGGGCGTGCATGCGTGCATTTGCTGATGATCTCGCAATGGTTCTTTCTGGGTTCCTCTCGGTGGTCCCAGTCTTGGAGGAGCTTTTCATGACCTATGCTCGCATCTCGGGCCTTGCCATCAGCATCGCTCAGACGGTGGTCGCGCCGCTGGTCCAGCGCGACGTGAATACGTTGCGTTCGCTCTTGTCGCAGGCGGCTCCGGCGTGGGCAGGAGTCACAATCAGCTGGTTTGCGAAGTACTCGGGGTTCATCCTTGGCCCGGGCTGCGCTGGCGCATCCTTGAAGGCGCCCTTGCGCACATTTTTGGAAAGGGCCCAGCTCTGGGGGCAGGTCGGGGCTGGACTGCGCGACCCTTCGGGCCAAAAAACGTATTCGTGGCGAGCGCCCCCATCTTCGCAGGCCAGTTGGGCTCCGTTCCCGCCGCGATCGAGCCCCGCGAACCCCGGGCATGCGCGGCGCTGCTGCTGGGCCCCGGGACTGGGCGCACCCGCGGTGTCTCCACGGATTGCGCGACCTCGGCTTCCCCGTGGAGGCCCCGGACCTTCGGGCGAGATGCACGGGCGCCAAAGCTCGCGTCTTCTACTTGGAGGATCGGGCCCATGGTGGCCTGGGAGTTCCTGAGCGCGCCGCCCGGTTGCGACAGGCGATCCAGACCTCGCCTCTCAGGCAGCGCGTTGCGACTTGGAGTACTTGGCTGGATGGCGCATGTCTTCTGCAGCTGGAGCAGGCGGAGGCCACCGCGAGGGCTACGAGTCTGAGTTCCCTCCCCACGCTTTCGTTTTCTATGTGTTACGACGGGGGGCGAAGGGCCCAGCCGCGTTGGTTGGCAAACCCGTGGCGGCTACTATGCTCCAGGCCGTGCCGAGCGGGGCAGCTTTCCAGCGCCTCCGCCGACGTCTGGACCACTGGGAATTGGACGTGCTGCCTGGGCGCCGGGTGGCTCGGGTCCCGAGGGCGTCCACGATCCTGGCCGAACGCGTGCCTCCACGAGTTTCTGCGGCAGCCCTCTGCGCAATTTGCAATGGTTGGGTGACGCGCCGCCGCTTCCAGCAGGTAAAAGCGAGGCGTGTTAGGCTGCCCGCTGAGTGAAGACAGCATCAGGCACTGCACCGTGTGCTCGTGCTTCCACGGGCTTTGTCAGCGCCACCTGGGCCTAGGCAAGCCGCCGCGGTCCCTCTGCTTGGGGGATTTTCTCGGGGTGGACCCGTGCCTGCCCGCTGCTGAGGAGGCGCGGGAAACATGCACGGCCCTGCGAGCGATCTCCGCGTGCGCACCTTATCGTTGCCATGGCTCCGCACGGCATGGCGTTCTGCCATCAGCTGGGTGCCGCGACGGCTTCCCTACATATGTGAGGGAGGCTGCCCGCGACCATCGCCAGACTCTCCGCCTTCTTTCGCGCGGCCGCGTGACGGCGGTTAGGAGCCCAGTCTCGTCTTCTCCTCTCTCCCCGCTGCTTTCTTCGTTTTCGGTTGCGGTCTTAGCCCGTTGCCTCTGCTTAGTTGCGCGCTTACTTTGTTCATTTTCATGTGGCAAGGTGTCGCCCATTCGCGCGGCGCTCTGGAAGCATTTGGCCTTCAGGGCGCCCAGACTCGTGGGAGTCGGTGGGCTAGGACCCTCGAGGCTTTGTTGTGTTCTCCTTCTCTTCGTCTTTTTCCTCCTTTCCTTTTCCCCAGTACCTCTGTGCCAGATCTTTGGTCGATCTGCCCGGTCAGGGCTGCGACCGCTTGTCATTGAGTTGTCCTATTTCAGTGCGCTGTGCACGGAGCTGGATGATACGAATCAGCATTACCCTCTTCCCTCTCGTCCTGTCCTCTTTTCTTCCTTTCGTTCCTTCCTCCTCCCCCTCCTCCTCCTGGTCGGAACGCGTCCCACGGCGGACCCAGAGGGACCGTTTTGAGTGAATTGTTTTCACTTATTTGGCAAGCGCTGGCCGTCCAGACCGTTACGGCGTTTTGCCAGGGAGGCTTAGTTTGTGGTTTCATTTTTGCCTGGCTGCGCTGGTCATCTGCAGTGGTCCGCTCCCCCCTCCTTCAAAAAGAGGGAAACGCGAGCACTTGGGAAGACTATTGGCGTAGTTTGCTCCTGAAAAACTGCAATATTTATGCGGCCATTGTGCAACAGCGTTTAGCCGCGGCTTTCGACGCGTGCCTCCAACCCGCGCGGACCGCGCGGGTTGGAGGCACCGCACCGCCGGTGCTGGACAGCGCAGAGGCGCGGCGCAGGCAATGCACTGCGCGCGCAGATGGCGGAGCACGGAGACATCACACGTCAGAAAGCCATCGCAGTGTTGCATGATTGGGAAAACGCATTCGGTAGCGTCACCCGGCCCAGTCTTATCATCGCTCTGCACGATATTTGTCAAGGATGCTGACCGCCAGGAAGCATTCGTGGGACTCGTTGAAGCCATGCCAAGCGCAAAGGTTAAACTATTTCGACGAAGTGACACGAAAGGTGTATGTTTTTCGCCCCTCAGTTTTTCGCCCCCCATGGAGCAACGCCCCCCCCCCCAAAAAAAAACATCGACGAAGTGATGAGATAATCCAGACCGTGCAAACGAATGGTCGTCTCTTTGGCCTCTTGGCCCATTGGCCGACACGCTTCTGCACCCTCTTGATGCCGACGCATGACCTCGGACTCTGCGAACGTTGTCTTATCCAGGATGGTCCTCAAAGGCGGATATTGCCTGGCACGCGTATATCCGACGGGCCACAGGCTGCCAAATCAGCTTGGATGACCCCCTCTTGATGCTTCCAACGCTGGACCCTTGTTAGGTCCGATCCTTTACATTTCCTGAATTGGAAAGCGCGTTCGGAGTTCCCTTTTTCTTTGAAGTTAGCTAAAACTTGTTTCGTAAACGCATCGACGGTTCGACTGACCATCTTAGTTGCAATCTCAACTAATTTTTTGGGGCATCGACCACCACGGCAGCACCATCGTCGAACAACGTATGTCTATGAACGAAGGCGTAGCACTGGTGGAAGCATGCCTCAGTTATTGACCAACGGTGGTCTCGGTCGTAGTCGGCGCAGGGAAAGAGAAGCCATGGGCAACCAATTCGCTTACTGCTACCGACACATTCCGCCATCAAATTGTTGTAGAGCGCAGCTCCGAGTTGTTGCCTTCGGGAGGATCGAGGAAGGAGGGTTCGAGGAGGGAAGATTGAGAATCGAGGGAGGGAGGGATGATCGAGGTTGGGAGGGAACAGCGAGGTTTCGAGGAGGGAGCATCGGGGATCGAGGGTCGAGCAGGCAGTGTCGAGGAATCGAGAAGAGGAAAGTTTGAGGATTGAGCCTCGAGGATCGAACTTATTGGACGCTGTCGCGGATCCAGCCGCGGCCACGAGGGCGCTCCTTGAGGCCCAGGGAGGCCAAGAAATGTCCAGAAACCTCAGACAAGAAGGATCCCCGATTTTGGACCTGCCATCGACACCTCGACCCTGGACCCTCAATCGACGACGGCGGCGTCGTCGCCTTCGGTAGCCGATGACGACGTCGCCATCTGGAGCCGACGACGTCGTCGTCCTCGACTTCGACGATCGACGACTCGACGACGTCGTCGCCGACGACTACGTCGTCGCCCCCGCCGTCACCCCCCGTGGCGGCCGCGGCCCGACCCGGAGGCAAGCTGCCGAGAGCAGCTCGTCCAGGCCCGACGTCCCCGTCACACAGAAGGCCGACGCCCGCGCGGCCTACGTCGCGGCGTGCGACTGGTGGACCCGGCACCAAGGGGGGGGTCCAAAGCTTAGCAGTAGGAGAGACCACGGGAACATCAACGTTCGGAGGTCCGTGCGGATTCCTTGGATCGGCGAGTGACAGGATTTGATCCTTTGGCCCTGGTGGAGAGAAGGTCACCGTCGATCACATCCTGCAGACTATTCGGGAGGATGTGGCTACTCGGCTCAATCCCCCTCGCACAGATGGGAATGTGCAGTTCTTGCGGGGGGGGTGGGGGGCGTCGTCGGGGGGCATTGGGTAGGGGGGAGGGGGGTCGGCGCGCGTGGGGGGGGGGGAGCCAGGCCAGGCCGTCGGGCGGGCCGGCGTGGGGGGGAAGCGTATTGAGCATCTTGCAGTAATTCTCCAGATGGGAGGAGGCGAGCTCACGGAATCTGGAAGGTGTCGGCTACATATGGCACGAGGCTTTGGAGGGGCACCTTGGTGGTCTTCGTGTTTGGGCTCTGCGCATCGAAGTGTTATTTGTTTTGTGTATCTCCATGAGGCCGTGGGCCGTCGCCGAAGGGGCTCATGTTCTTGACCCGCGTTCTCGTGGCCATGTTTCGACAAACGTTTGTCAGCCAGTTTCCCCCCCTCTGGTAAACCTGCGTTTGGGAGCCACGTAGAGCCGACCCCCCAAAATCCCCACCCTCAGCCAATACTGGCTGAGGAACCACACTAACTGGCCAGCCAGAGGTTCGCGACATGGCCCCAGGTCAGCGCGTCCCCGAATGCACCCCAGAGGCTGTTTGAGCGGTTTGGAAGGCTTTGGGAGGTTTGTTTGTTTGTTTCTTTGTTGTTTGTTTATACGTGTTTGCATATTTCGTTTCTGAGCCTTCGGAGGCCTCCAGAATCCTCTGCAGGCCTCCGTGAGGACCTCCCGGGATTGCGGGCCTAGGGCATCCAGGGACATTTGGAGGCCAAACCTACCCTTGAAAATACGCACGGCGGGTTTGCGCTGCGTCGACGCGGGGGATCGCGGCTGCGACCCCGGCGTGGGCGTTTGAGGTTGGCAGCCCCCCCGACGGTTTTGACCAGGCCAATGTTGCCTGGCATCCGTGATGGATCGCGGAGACGGCTCAAGTTGGAGCGCTCTATGCTGTGTCAGGCACCAACGTCTACGTCGTGATGAAGGAACAAGCCGAACCTGGGGGAGGAGCCTTCAGGGCCCTCTTCGGGACCGCCAGGGGCCAGGTCTAGGGGCTTGCCTTGGCTGGAACCGTGGCCCTGCGACCTCCCACTGGACGTATGGACCCTCCCAAGGTACTTGATCGGAGACCGGCCAGCTGCCTGAATGGACGGAGACTTGCAGTTCTCGAGGGGGCGAAAGTGAGGATAGGCCAAGGATCGAGGGTCCAGGTTTTTGAGCACTTTTGGCTCCCTTTATGTTGCTTCTCTGCTGCCTGGGGGCAACATGGACCCCTGATCGCTCCTCTGGGCTTGTGTGCCCCGGAGCTCTCGGTCTTGTTTTCGGGGGCGTACCGACGATCTATCGGCGGTACGTCGCCCACGCCAGGCTGACGTTTCGCCCCTTGAGCCAGTCCTCTCTCTCGCCCCCCATGCTTTGGATCCAGCACCATGCTGTCCCTGTCCTGAGCCCTGATTGCGCGGACGCGCGCTCGCCGAGGACGACACTGTGTGACCACAGAGGGAGTCCTGGCAGAGCACGCGAGGCGCCGGCCAGTTCTAGGTTGGTGGACGTGGTGTTTCTTGCAAGAGTTCTCTTGCCCCCTAAGGGACCCAGAGGATCGAAGAAAGAACCTCTGGATAAACATAAGCTTTCCATCGGCGCTGGACCCTCCCAGTGGAGCCGAAAATTTCTGTTCACGTAGGCCTCTTCTTATAGAGGGTCTTAAGCCTTCAGGGGCCTCCACCCAGCATGGATGACAATATATCCAGGATTAAGCAATTATCCCAGTGGGACCCTACCTAGGAGTTGGAGCATCAAGGAAAGCAACATCTACATCTACACCGACAGCTACATTAACATCTACACCTGCATCTACATCTACATCAACATCAACAGCGAGACTCACATCTACACCTACATCTACACCTACATCTACATCTACACCTACATCTACACCTACATCTACATCTACATCTACATCTACATCTACATCTATATCTATATCTATATCTATATCTATATCTATATCTACACCTACATCCACATCTACACCTACATCTACATCTACATCTACACATACATCTACATTGTCGCATTGGTTTTGCTGTTGCTTTGTATTGCCTTGCGTTTGCTTTGGCTTTGTTTTTGCTTTGCCTGCGCACACACACACGCATGTTCTCGCATTCGTTCACCGGATGTGCTTGAGAATGCTCCGTATCCGGTCTACACCGCACTATTTGGCAGAGCCTAGGTAGGAACATGCACACACACGCACACACACACATGCAGCATTCCACATCTACAGCTACACCTACATCTACATCTACATCTACATCTACATCTACATCTACATCTACATCTACATCTACATCTACATCTACATCTACATCTACATCTACATCTACATCTGCATCTGCATCTGCATCTGCATCTGCATCTGCATCTGCATCTGCATCTGCATCTACATCCACATCCACATCCACATCCACATCCACATCCACATCCACATCCACATCTACAGCAACAGCAAGGCTAGGCTAGGCTAGGCTATGCTATGCTGCGCTGTGCTATGCTAAGCTAAGCTATGCCATGCTGCGCTTTGCTTTGTCTTGCTTTGCTGTGCACCCAGCGACAGCAGGCTGTTCAGCACTGCTCGCGGCTCTTGCAAGTGCTGCAGGCTGGTTCAATACTGCTCGCGGCTCCTGCAAGAGCTGCAGGCTGTTCAGCACTGCTCGCGGCTCCTGCAAGAGCTGCAGGCTGTTCAGCACTGCTTGCAAGAGCTGCAGGCTGTTCAGCACTGCTCGCGGCTCCTGCAAGAGCTGCAGTCTGTTCAGCCCTGCAGGTCCGGCTTTGCGTTGCTTGTGCTTTGCTATGCGATGCTATGCTATGCTATGCTGCGCTATGTTATGCTATACCATGCTATGCTAGGGTACGCTCGGCTGCGCTGTGTTATGCTAGGCTATGCTATGCTATGCTATGCTGCGCTATGCTGTGCTGTGCTGCGCTATGCTATGCTATGCTATGCTGCGCTATGCTAGGCTATGCTAGGATATGCTATGATGCGCGATGCTATGTTATGCTATGATATGCTATGCTGCGCTATGCTATGCTATGTTATGCTGCGCTATGCTATGCTATGTTAGGCTATGCTGCGCTATGCTATGATATGGTATGCTATGCTGCGCTGTGCTATGCTAAGCAAAGCTATGCTATGCTATGATTCGATGTGCTGTGCTATGCTATGCTATGCTGCGCTATGCTATGCTGCGCTATGCTATGCCATGCAATGCAATGCTATGCTATGCTATGCTATTCTATGCTATGCTAATGCTGCGCTAAGCCAAGCTGAGCTAAGCTAAGCTTGGCTAAGCTAAACTAAGCTAAGCTAAGCTAAGCGAAGTTAAGCTAGGGTAAGCTAAGATGAGATAAGCAACGCTAAGCTAAGGGGACGTAGCTGGGGGAACCGCGGGGCGGATACTGGGGGAACCGCTTTCCCTACCCAGGCAGAGCCTAGGTAGGGAAAGAGGGCATACAGAGTGAGGAAAAAGGCCTCCCAAATTGAAGTCGAACCTCCAACTGTGCTATGCACATAGAGAAACATGGCGTGTCATTGCCTAGAAATGCGACGCCAAGAAAGCAATTGAGGGCCCATGAACCCTGACCCAGCAACCTTGGCCCAATCCGTGCGGATTCGGCTTCACCACGCCGGGAAGCAAAATATGTAAGAACCCTATGGCAAAGTTTAGTCATGAATTCTAGACGCGTCGTGACCTCCTAGAAACTATGTCGAGTTGAGTGCCTTGTGCTGCGAGGATCTGGATTGGCTGGTACTGCGTGTGATTTTTGACAAGAAACACCTCCCCCCATGTCCACCAGCTCGGTGGATCTGGCGAGTTCGAGGGCCGCAGCCACGGGCCATGATCACGCCGCGCTAGAGCACGCTAGTGCGTGGAACTTTTCAGCGACCGCCGCGCCGCATCCACTCATGATACAAAGCAGGGATTATATGAATACTCAGGCAGAAGATTGGTTATCAGCTGAAACAACGGCTCAGCCGTTAGCCTCGCAGAGCATGGGACCACAGGAAGGGACGCGTGGGGGATCAGAACATCGACAACGTTCCGAGCGCATCGATGATGTGGACGCCTCCATAAGGCGACCTCATTCTTTCAATCTTCCCAGAAGGCAAGCATCGAAAACTGCGTTCGAATTGGCGGAAGGGGATTCCCCGGTTGATTCGTTGACAAGGGCTAGCGGCTAGAGCACAAACCCCGGGCGGGAGGCGCGGCGCCGCCAAAATTTCCGCCGGGGGGCCATCTGATATAGCACCAGTGCATCTGAGTTCCCGATCATCGATTGACCTAGACCATGAGACAGAGAAACTGTTGGATCGCATCCCCATAGGAATGTCAGATGGAGGAAATTGCAACACAGAAGAAACAGCGCAATTTGTGATACATGGACAGGGCGAGGATGTGATCGATTTACAATTGGAAAGGGACAGGTCGCACTCCATTGAGAAGAATGAAGAATATGCCCGATGTCATACCTCGCCTGGCCCATCTCATAATCTGGATCCTCTCCCCGATGGGTCTGACGGGCTCGCCTCAGGCGCAGATCCGTCTGAGAGCGAGACAGTTGATCATGCAGCGGTCGTGGCGCTTCAGAAGGCCAGTCTTGATTCGGATGATGATTTCGGAGATGGAAGAAGCCCAGACCGAGGCAAGGGTTCGTCGGCTCAGCCGATGTCGAATTCGCCTAACGTCTTACGCGTAGTCAGGCATACAAGAGAGTCCACAGGTACAACTCCACGTCCACAGAGAAAGAAGTTTAAGAGTGAGGATGACGACCGACATGCTTCTCTTTTACCGCAAGGTTCTTTCGCCGGCCAGACTTCGCATTGTCGAGGTCGAACAGGGGCACGGCGCCAGAACATGATGAGCTTGCGATGCAGGGCGACGAGACGGGCTAGCTCTTAATTTATGGACGTCGACTTCACTAATAAGGGCGCAAGAACAAGGGGGCGGCGCACCCGCGCCTCCAGCAGGGGGCGCAGGAAGGCCCCCAGGGCCGGGCGCTCCAGTTCCAGAGGATTCGATG